TTCTCTGCAATTTTGAGTATATTTAGCATTTCTTTTTAACTTGGTAATTTTATCTTTATTAGATTTAATTTCATTCTACAAGTCAAGTTTTCTATTTTTTGATATATGTTATTATAAATTTAAGTATTACTGGTGATATTGTAAATTTGCTCAAATTTGTGAATATTTTTTTAGCTATTTAGACTGCATCTGCTGCTTTTCTTTGAGCTGATGCATTTGTAGGAATTTCTGGTAAGATATTTACTGAATGAATGGTAGGAAGTAAAGGACTTGGTTTTTCTATAGATATTGTGAATACAGAATGCTTGTATCTTATTGATTGTATATCATAAAGATTAAGCAGTGTGGTTATATAGTCTTGAATTATATCATCAATTTTTTCAGCATTCTCTTTTTTAATATTATTCCATTCATTTGTGACTTTACGACAAACAGCAGCATGATTGAAAGTATATTTACTTATTTTTACCATAATACTATATATATAAGCATTTATAAACTCTTGATACTTGTTATTTGGTGAATCATATATTGGTTTTTTATTAAATTTGAGACTAAAAAATGGTTTTCTGCTTATTTTTAATCTTTAGGATAAAATATTTGCGTGTTTGTGATGAAACAGATAGCTAAATGTAAAATAAATTTTTTGTAATACGTTAAGAACGTGTTAAAAAAAACTCACTGCAGCAAAAGGCATGATCATCATGATACAACAACAATGTAATTTCACAAAATCTTGGCTATTATATTTTCAATTTGATTTTAATGGAATTTCCGAACACTTAAATAATTTTTTCTATCAATTTTAAATAGCCATTTAATTTAATTTAATAATTTTTTATTTTTTACAAGGCGTTAATCTTTAACTTTTTTAATGTATACAATCAAACCTTGATATAGCGAACCCTTGATATAGCGAATTTTTAAATCAAATATATTAAAATTACCTTTGCTATAGTGAACTAGCTAATTAAATTCTTTAAAAAATTCATTATAAGCTTATAATGAAGTTGATATTCAGATCCTAGAATTCGTTATATCAAGAGTTTACTGTAGTTAACTTTTACAAGGCATTAATCTTTAGCTTTTTTTTAATGTATAGTTAATCAAAAACTATATTGTATAATCAATCAAAACCTTTGATTCTAATAATAAAAAGCCAAGATCACATAACTTGATAATGTACATATGATTAGAATATTTTATTTGAGGATGGAAGGGTAGATAGACGCTTATAATAAAATGATATTATGTAATATCTGTCACTGTTCTTACTTCTTCAATTTATTATTTTCAAATATTTTCTAAGTCTTTCTATAAAACCTCCATTCAGTTCATTACTTATCTGACTTCTTGACTCTTTTTTTGGTTCTTTAATTATTCTTCTCCTTTAATAATTATTTTTATCCAAATTATTTTTCCAAAATTTATCCTTCTTGTATAACCTTTTCTTTCGTATTGTAATTTATCTGAGTATTCTTCGTTTTAATAAAATAATATTCTTTCTTTGATTATATGATTTCCTTATGACTTTTGTTATATCTTTATAGATTCTTGTCATACATATTATTGCATCTTAAATTATGAATTATTGACTTTACAACGTAAAATAATATAAAATATATAAAAAATTTTTTTTTAAAAATAAAATGCTTTACACAATTTCATATTATTTTATGCATAAAAAATATGTCAATTATTATGTACAGTCAAATCTTGATATAGCAAACCCTTGATATAATGAATTTTAAATTAAATATATTAAATATATCTTACTATAGTGAATCAGCCAATTAAATTCTTTAAAAAATTTATTATAAACTTATATAATAAAGTTAAAATTTAAACTTTAGGATTAGTTATATCAAGAGTTTATTATACAGGAGCATTTTCAGTAAAATCACATTACGGATCATATGATTTACTATGCTTCATTACTTGATTTTACTGGAAACGTTCTCATATATTAAATTTAAAACAAAAATATTATTTAAAAAAGTTATATTAAATTAATATTGAATTTGAGTTTTACAAAAATGTTTATTAAGAAATATACCAAATTCAAATTTCACAGAAATATTTATATCACAAGTTTATCAAGATTAATACTTTTATCAAAATGTATGCTATTATATTTTAAAAATAAAATTTTATATATTATTCAGATGTCTATCACGATTTTTTGTTAAATGTGATTATTAGCATCAGAAAATAATCATTTATTTATTTAATACTAATATTATGGAAATCAAAAGATATTTTCTCACAAGTTATATTAAAATAAAACAATTATCTCTATTATTAACTTATCAAATTAAAGGATTATTTTAAACTTAATATTTCTCAACTTTATATGTATTTATATTTATAAAAAAATTATTCAATTATAGGCAAAGCTGATTTATAAGTATATAAGTATTTTTTTTTTGCTTTTAAAGTAAATTAGAAATAAATAAACTTTTTTTATCAATTAATAATTTTATTTAATATACTATATATGTAAAATTAAGATATAGTATAAAGTTGATAAATAATTAGATTACATTAATATATATATAATTTATTAAGTATTTTAACTTATTATTATATTCAATTTTATATAATAAAACCTATTATATTTATGCAAAAATTCTCTTTAAGTTATATTTTTATAGGCAAAATAATATATTCCATTTTGTAAAATGAATTTATACTAAGTAAAATTTTAATATTTTTTCTTAAAAATTTTATTTTTAAAAAAATCTAAGAGATATATTTTATTTTTAATATATTAAAATAATTGCTGAGGTAATTGATACATAAAATATCACATTATATAATAAGAAAAAAATTATTCAGGAAAAAAAAGTGAATAAAAAAAATAAAAATATCAATCAATTTTTCATTTAATAAAAAAAAAAAGGGTAAAATATAAATTTTTTGAACTTTTTCTTAATAATATAAAAATTTATGAAAAGATTTATATATTATAATAACTTAAGTTTTCTATCTTTAAGAAAAATAAAGATTATCTTTATTTAATGAAATTCAAGTTTTTTATTTTTTCTTTAATTCATTATTTAATTAAATCGGCTTTACCTACTTATAAATAATCTTTTTATAACATATGAAAATTGTAAAATAACTAATACTTTTGAATTAGAAAAATACTGTAATCTTAAAAACTTTCCATTTTGAAAAGATAGGGATATTATTTGAATTATTGTATAAGAAATATGAATTTTATTTTACAAAGATTACCAAGAAGAATCTGAATTCTTATAACTTTTTAATAATGATTCAATATTTACTTCTAAGATTGACTATAACTTTCATGATAATTATGCTATTAGATTAATAAATATTTATTGCTAGCTCAGATTTATGTTCTTGATTATATTAAAAGAATATGAAATAACTTTCCAGATTTTTTTTTTTGTTTATAATATTTTGAAGAAATATCTACTAAATTTTGAATAAAAGAATGTAATCTTTAATAAATAACACAAAAAAGTTATAAATTAGATAGCATTTCCTTATGTACTTTTTTGTTTCTATTTCACATTATATTAAATTCTGTTATTAATTGTTCATTAATTGATAAATTTATTAATAAGTTCATATTTTTAACTACTAATAAAATAAGTTATCCATCATATTTAATAGTCATCAGAGCTTTAAAATCCGAATAAATGTATTATTCCTTCAGGAACTGGTCTTACTATTTAATTAGTACTAGATCTTACTGGTTCACACATCTTGAAAGAAGTAATTGAAATGAAAAAATTATTGTTGTAAGAAATGGTTTCAATTTAACTGATAATGTGAAGATTTCATGTTGATTTTCCATGTAAAAGTTATCAAAATATTATATATAAGTTAATGGAACGATATATGAAGATAATACAGTCGACCCCCTCTACAGTGACACCCCTTGGAAAAAGTGTGACTATAGTGAAAAATGACCAAAAAGGGGCGTGACTATAAAAACATTGTGATTAAAGAAGGGTTTTTATAAGGAATGAAAGGTGTGCTTATAACGGAAGGATTTATATGATGTGATTATATATGGGGTGAGGGGGTCGACTGTATAGATGAATTGTTCAAAAAGTTCAAAAAAAAATACTAATCTTCTCAGAAATGAAAGTATGACTATTTTTATTTTTTGTTATTAAACCGTTTAATTATTCATTGGTAATCTAAAAATGTAATTCCAACTCTAGCATGATATCTAGTTAATTCATCTTTATCTATTTCTTCAATATATTGTAAAGTGTGATAAGTCCTTTGTAATAAATCTGACGGAATCAAAGATATATTTTGTGAATGTGAAGCTAAACCACGGAATAACGAGATTAATAATACAATGGAGGCTGCAATATATATATATATATATAAAAATAAGTTAATTTGATTATTTGGTGTATTAAGGTATAAATTATAAACAAACTTTACCACCCCACCTCTCCTAACTTCGACTTCCTTTTGAATATCCAGAATATTTAAAGTCCAATCAACAACATCTCGAAACCATGTTGTTAGGGCTAATGGAGATGTTTCACAAGAAAATCCAATTATACTCAAAGCGGATACACGTAAGTCTACGTTTTGATCTTTGTTTAGAACATTTAAAAGTGGCGGAAAGATAGTTGCAACTATATAATAAAGTATTTAACAATAATTACGATAATAATGAGTCACAATATTATAAATTTTAACTCGTGTATAACTAACTATATTTTCCAAGTGCTTCTCCACATCTTCGAATAGTTTGTAATATTGCTTCCCCGATACGTAATCGATTGTCAATACTTTGCTTGTCATTCGAGTAAATTACCATCAGTTTTCGCATGATCTTTTCTCCATGAACGTCCGTTAATGTGGATAATCCTTTGACAGCATTTAAATATATAAAGCTATTGATAAATGATGATAAGAACTACAAATTATTAAATAATCATAATGCATAAATTAATTAATTAAATTGTTTTAAAATCAAATACCTTTCTTCAACTTGAACCATTTGTATAAAGATATCCAATACTCCATTTAAATTCACATCATTATCCATCAATGGATCTTTTTCAAGTATCATTTCTTTAAGCATTAAGATTCCTCGAGCTTTTATAGGTAAAATCTCATCTTGTAGTGCGTCCATGGCCTCTTGGTATTTTTTTAGCGATTCTTGTCGTCGCATAGATTCTTCTAAATCATATTTAAAAGATGAAGCTTTAGAGGCATTACGCGCTAAAATAGTTAAACGAATATTACGGGTTAATGATTGAATGGAAGGAGATGAATGATTTTGAAGAAGTTCCAAGTTATCAAAAACTGAATCCTGAATTGAAAGGTTTTTATGTTCTATCGTTGATGGATTGAAGAAATTTAATTTTAAAATTGTGATTAGTAAAAAAAAAAAATCACCAATAGTCTTAAAAAAAAATATCGAGAACTTCCTTACCTTCCAACAAAGATGATAAAAGTGTTAATGCTAGGTATAATAACTCTTCATCATCATTAACCTCGGTAGAGGCTTCATCATTGCTATCTTCATCTTTAACGATATTACTTAATTCATCCAATATACTTTCTTTTCGTTCCTCCTGATTGGCATCCTTTCGATGATAACCCTCGAGAACGTTATTAACGAATGCAACCATTTGTTCAGGTTTCTGTAAAATGGACGAACCAAGGCAATCAATCATTGCCAAAACAAGATTGATTAACGTAAGAATTCTGTAATAAATAGATAATATCAGTATTTGAACAAATTGTATATAAGAAGTATTATTTTGCGACGATGATTATAACGAGACACAAACCGTCTTGAATTTCCTTTGTATTGAGCTAATGAATAAGTATATTCTGTGAGTAAATACATAAAGAAATCTCCGGATAAATCTTTATTTGCGATTACTTTTAGGAAATTTATAAAAATTTCAACGTCTATTGAAGTTTTCGTATCTGATAAACTCTGTGCATTTCTATAAATGCAAAGAAATATGAAAATATCCTTTGGAAAAAAAAATCCCCATATAAACTCAACTATGATATAAAACTTACAATCGCAATCTCATTACTGCGTCACCAGAAGATCCGGGAGCAAAATATACTTCACATACTTCTCCTAACTCCGGAGCTCTCCATTTTCTATTTTTCCTAAATACAATTTCCTTCAATGTTTCGGTAGCTTCGCTTACTGATACAATTCTAAAATAAGATAATAATATATCTAATATAATATCTTTCAAATAAGATTTTGAAGAACAAGTAAAGGCATAAAGATGATATAAAGGCGCTACTGAATCCTCCAGAAACATGTGTATCAAATCAGGTACAGGTTCACTGCCAACCAAGATTCTATGAATAACAGTTATAATGGATCGTAATGTTTGTTCATTCATCATCAATGGGTCAAGTTCAGAGGATGTGGTAAAATTGTTTTGAACAATTTTACTGTGCTCTTCTGAAGTGATTCCCCACCATTTCCATAGTGGACCAAAAATTTTCGTTATTACGAACTTTTTGGTCAACGCTGGATATTTGTTAGCCATTCTTACGATGGTAAACGAAGAAACATTGGAAATTGGCGGTATCGCTGATGGAGAATTTCCCGAAGAATTAGAAATCGATTGAACTAAAGAAAGTAATTGGGGACATATCACTGAAAAATATTTCTAATAAATAAAATAAATAAATAAATAAAATGCGGTATTATTTTATAAATGATGCCAGTCATAAAGTTCATCGAGAAAATTTAAAAGACTTACTTCTATGGATTTTACTTGATTTGGAACAGATAGAATTAATTTGGAAATTGTCTCCAATGTAGTTAAGTTAACTATTAACAAGAAAGAAAATTTAATAGTTTTCGACAATAAGAATATAAACTTTTAGTGATTTAATAATAACCTTCGCCTTCACCCCCAATCATAAAATCTATAACATCCCTTATTCCATTCGGACGTAGCAAAATCTGTGATAAAAATCGACCACAGACACTTTTAAACCATTTAGGCGATAGGTGAAGTGTAGAGGAACTCAATAACATGGTCAAAGCTTCCAGAGATTGAAAAGAATCAGCACTAAAATAATTTTTATAAAGCTGAAAGATTGAACAAATAATTTTACATAAATGCGATAAAAAAATATAACTTACCTCTCGAAAACTTTTCGAAACATTTCTATACTCTCTTTGTGCATCCTCTCAATTTCACCTTCATCCAAATCTCTTGTCACTTCTGAAGTTATAGAACTCACAAGTTTTTCGTCGTTATTTTGAGGAGGGGTTGCAATAAGCTTCCTTTTTGATAAAGGTCCATAAGCTAATTGTAACAACGCCGCGTATACATCCGTAAGATGCTTTGAGAATAAAATAGACGTCACAGAAGTATACATCCTCATTTTACTTACTTCAGTAAACATAATATTTGTTAATGATTTCATTAAATTATATAATTGACTGTATAATGAAAATGGAGATGTTTTTTTATTTTTGATAATTTTTTCCTCAGTTGATAAATCTTGCAAAAGTTCTAAAATTGTGTGAAGAAGTTTAACAAATAATTTTGAAATTATAAATAAATTGCCGAAATTATAAAGAAAAATAATACTTTTTAAACCTTAGAAATTAATACCATTCTGAATATATCCTGATCTGGTCCTCCTTGAGAGAGGAACACCAACACCTGATAATAAACAAGGATAGACTCCCCAAGTTATAACTATTTCTAACATTGTATGAATAAGCCTTAAATCTCTGACACCTAAGAATTCGTGTTCTTTTTCTAGTGACTTTGTATTTTCAGTTTGTTTTTGGTCTTTTTCTTTTAATAGAATTAAAAGTTAATTAATTTTATAAAATTCCAATTAATCAAATTTTTATTTTAATACCTTTAAGATCATTAATATTTGTAAGGGTATATTGTAACAATTCCAAAGTTTCCAGACATTTTTCCACGAATTGTTCTCGCACATAATCTTCGTCAAGAAAAGAAATTTCGGTTCGTGTCTCAGGTTGTTTGTCTGTTGCAATTTCAGCTAAATCAAGTTCATTTGTGGACGATTCACATATAAAAGATTCGAAATTATCTAATCTAATTCTTAGCCTTTCATGAATTGAACATGCTAAAGAATAATCAACATTAATGAGCAAAAAAAAGAAATAATTTTAACATTGGAAAAATGAAATTCTGTATTAAATAAATACCTTTATTCTCCTCTAATGTATTACCCACTAAAATATGAGCTTGATGTAATAAGTGAAGAAGCTTATTATCAAGAATTTTTAGCTCCATTTTCAACGAATCGTTCGTTCACTTTCGCGACCTGATTTTTGAGGTATCTAAATACCTAATCATTGGATGATGACATAATCACTGTTCCGAACATTCCCGAATTAAACTTGGATTGGCAATTCACGACGAATGTATTCTTTTTCTCAATAGCATAAAAAGTAATCCACAAAATAGTATTCCAAAGCCACACAGTTTTACTTCTTTTTTTTCATTACATTATTAAGAAAGAATTATTAATCAGATTTTTTTTTTGAATTATCTCTAATTCAAAGTCTGATGGTCACGTGTATAATCGTTCTAAATATACGCGTTTGTTTTGATAATTCGTGAAAATTTTCTTTTTCTTATTATAACTATGAAAGCTAAACGAGAATCAAGCTCACCAAGACGCTCACCGAGATTTAACACCTCACCAAAACGTCGTCGAAGTTTTCTCGTATGCGATTTATTCAAGTATTCCACGTTTATTAACGCATTTAATAGCTATTAAACTAATTAAATTTATAAACCTTTAAACTCCAAATATTTAGTTACCGCCTCCTACTCGAAGTATTTTAAAAAAAAATGATGATACAACAAATTTTGATATTCTACAAGACGAGAATATAGCCACAAATGTTTTAGATTCTTTATGGGAAACAGACATTACAGAGAAGTAAGATAATCAATAAAAATTAAAATTTTCGAGTAATATTAATGTCTTTTTTTAAAAAAAAAATAGCATTGATGGGCAAAAGCGTAGAAAATCTTTAGGTAGAAGAGTCAGTTTTGCTTCAAAAGCTCGCGTTCGGTAAATATGTTTTAATTAATGATGTGTAATTTTTGTAAATTTAATTTACTTTGGATAATGGGACTTATGATTTATTTGAATGTCGAGATTTCAGTTTATTTGATAAATATGAAGTTGCGGGACAGCAACCAGCAGATCAAAGTATGACTAGTTCTTTAAATGGTGATCGAGATGAGACCTCGGAGTTTATGTTGACAATTACTACGCAATCTCCAGTAAATATAGACTTAAAACCCGAAGACAAGCAAAACAAACAACAAATTGATGATAAATATGAAGTTGCGGAACTACAATCAGCAGAATCAAATGTATCAAATCCTTTGAATGATGATCTCGATGAAGCTTTGGACTTTATTCCAATAATGTCTATATCTCCAGATGATATGGACTTTCAATCCGAAGAAATGAAAGCATTGATTGAGAAACAAAATCAACAAATTGATAACGATGAAGCTACTGAACAACAACCAGCAGTACCAAGTATATTAAATTCTTCAAATGATGGTCGCGATGAAGCTTCGGAATTTTCGTTGACGATTTCCACACCATCTCCAGAAACTAATGAATGTCAATCCGAAGAAATAAAGGTTTCATTGACTGAGGAACAACAATTGATTGATGAATGTGAAGTCGCGGAACAGCAATCATCAGAACCTAATGTATCAAATCCTTCAAATGACGATCAAGATGAAACTCCAGAAAATAATGACTTTGAATCCGAAGAAATGAAATTAATGAGAGCTTTGGTTGAAGAACAAAATCAACAGATAGAGATATTTGAAGCAGAATTCGAAAATATTAATAAAGAAATGCAGACTCTCAGGGAGAAACGCGATTATCTGATAAAAGAAAAAGTGGAAATCGAACAGGTATTTGTAATCATTAAATATATTTGTCTAAGTTTATCAATAAATTATTTATTTTTATTATATTTAAGAAAATTCGCGACGCCAAGCAACTTGTGGAAGTGACTCAATGCTACACCGAGAAAGACCTACATGAGGTGCAAGGTAGGCATAAGATATAAAATGTTCTATAAATTTGAATAGGATCAGAGACATTGAAAGATATTTTTATATAACTATTTAAGAGCAATATAGAGCTTTCGTTGCTAAACACAAATGGAACCCTAAATCGTTGTCTGATGAGCTTGTACATTTGGAGTATGATGAAATTGTACAGGTTAAAATTGACATTAGAGATTTGCGTAAACGTGGTGACACGGACATTCCTTTTGTTGAAGTAATTCTTAATTTAAATGATAATGTGAAACATGAAGAAAAACAATATGTGAGAATTTTTTAAATTAATTAAAAATGTATATTAATTTTTATAATTATTGATTTCTATATTTGTGATTCTAAATTGTGGTTAAATAGAACCAAATTATTTTTGATGGAATACGAAAATTTGCTTTAAATTGTAAAGGACCGATAGAAATCACACAAGTAAGTAAAATTTTATCGTTAGTATAGAATTAATTAGCTGATTTTATATATTTTGTAATTTATAGTGTTCCAAAATTATAAAACCAATAGCAGATTATTGGGAAAATTCAAGACAACTTTATAGGGATTATCGTGTTTTAAAATATAAATTGCCGACAGAAATGATTGTTGACAAAACCCATAATGATAAAGATGATAATGGAAAAGAGATAATTATGAGCTTTAGGGTGAATTTTTTTAGCTACAAAGCTAAAACGAATTTTTACATAAAATTTTCTCTTCAATGGGAGGACATTATTAGATATCCAAATATTTCAAATATGTTATGGAAGATTGAACTCATTTATGGCAAAGTAAAGTAAGTAAAATATGTAAAGTATTAAAGATCTTAGATTTGATTTACTTAATTATGACTTTGTTTTTTTTTTATTAGTGAGTCCTTTATCAAAGAATCAATTAACAAACACTTTTCAAGTAACGTCCTTGGATGTATCAGAAATGCTTGTGTTTTCATACAGAAAAAAGTTTTTTGAATAGAAAACATTTTTGTTTTTTAAGTTATTTTTTTATTTTTGAATTATATACGTATCTTTTATGGTTATAAATTGAAATTTAGATATCTTTAATTTTCGAATGTATAATACTTTAGCATAATTTAAAAGAACATCACGAATATAATGTCATTTATAGAGATTGCTATAAAGAATGTTAAAAAAAGTATTGTAGTCACGAGATATAGTAAATCATATGATCCGTAACGTGATTTTACTGTGTTTCCAAATCACATGAAATTTTACTCGTATCGACTCAATTTCTGAGCGGGCGGACAAATGAAAGATCGAACTCAACAAATTGCATTTTGACTATTAACTTTACCTACTAATAGAAACATTTTCTTTTATAAATTTTACTCTTTTTATAAATTCTTGTTAATAATTTTTATAAATTAAATAATATATTTGATTTCTCAACAACCTATGATTCAAATTAGCTTATATTTTTATATCTTATTGACTTCGATTATATTAATATTATATTAAATTTTGATTTAATCTGAATAATGAATTTTGAGATATTATAAATATATTATTTATTTATAATGTATAAAAGTTTTGTTTAATTTGAATTATTAAATATTGAGAAAATTGACGTTAAAGATATTAAAAAGTATATGTAAACTTTTGGGAATTTTTAAATTTTTGTAAAAAATAGCTGACAAGCAAATTCTGTTTCATGTTTTGATCCACTAAAATTAGATGGATAACAAAGTATATACCGTTTAATCTGATCATTTGATAAACTATAATAAGAAGACTACTTTGATAATAGTATTTCATTATTATTGGATTTAAAATATTTTTCAATGCTATATTAACCTTGTATTTTAACAGGATCCTAATAAATATTACCAGTGAAAATTCAACTTTATATGTAATTTTACCTAATGATTTTATTAAATTCTATTAATTAAGTAACTAAAAAGGAAAAAATCATAATAATGTAATATAAAATTTTCTTTTATAAAAGAATTTATTGTATAAATTTTACCTTATACTAAAAGTAACCTACATTAATAGTAAACGAGATTTTATTTTAACATTACATACTCTTTTGCTATATATATAACTTTGAAAAAATAATTTTTAAATAAATAACCAAATATATTGTAAATAATTTTTTGCTTATATTTTTAAGTTTTTTATTATATATCATTTATCTAATTTTAAATCTTTTTTATATATACATCAAATATACAGTCATACCTCTCTATAGCGAATTTTTATATAACGAATTTTTTGGACAACTATATTAAATTTACCCTCGTTATAACGAACTAGCCAATCAAATTCTTTAAAAAATTCACTATAGCTCTATAGCGAAGTTGAAGTTCAGGACATAAAATTTGTTATATCAAAGGTTGACTGTATTTGGATTAATTAATTATAAGAAATATTTGATTTAATGTAATTTTTTTTCTTATAATATATATGAAGTTCTCTATCCAATAAAACTACAGTATAATTATCATCATTATATTTATTATTATTATATTCGTCATTATACTTATTAGATTCTTTATCAATATTTGTATTATTATAATCGGTATCTATATCACTAAAATATGTTTTTTTATGAGTATTATTAGTAATTAAAGAAAAATTAAAGGCTATTTGTTTTAGTTGATTTATCAATTTAAGAAGTTTATGGTTTATAATTTCTTCATAATCTATATAATTTATAATATTATTTTTATATTTTACTAATTGAATTAAAATATATAAAAAATAATAAAGGAAATTAAATATTTTTTTATTGAATTATTTTTTTTTAAATATTTTCTATTGTTTTTTTCATTATGAAAAAAAATTGAAATATGTATATCAGATCTTTGCAATAGAAAGAGAGAAAATAATCAGAAAAATCAAAAATGAGTTAATGCTAAATAAGGATGGGTCCGCAAATAGGCAATTGCGAAATAATTGCAATTTACGATATTGCGGACAATTGCGGAAATTAAGGTCCGATTCCGTAATTTCAGCCAAAATTAATATAATTTTGGCCAAAATATATATTTAAATTTATTAAAG